CAGGAGCTTTAAACAATAGAGGAATTTGGGTCAGAAGAGACAGAGAAAGTACTCCAGGCTGGGTAGGAACAGTTTGACAGTTTTGGAGGTAGCCATAGATGAGGCCTGTCAGTGAGATGTCTTTGTTGGAGTGGGGAGCAGCAAGGAAAGAGGCAGTGGGATGTGTCAGGGATGGAAGCAGCTGTAGGGATGCGAAAGGCTGGGTTGGGGAGTTACCACACATGACAGAGAAATATGCAGCCAGCAAAGCAACTGCTGGGGGACCCTCAGGAGAGAGCACAGTTCTGAGAGCTATGAAAGGCCTTTAGCAAACTCTTTGTGTCCCCAGTACTGAGCACAATGCTTGAAACACTGAAGGCACTTATAGAAGGAAGAAAAGAAGAAAAGAACGTACTAGGTGGTCTGTGTTCTGGAGAAACTTCCACTCTCCTTACAAAGGAAAACTAAAATAACTTCTGACATGACCTTCAGAGGAAGCTCATGTGAGCTTCCCACACAGTACCTGTCCTCCAGCGCATGCCCAAAACATGCTAAGCACTAAGAGAGATGAGAAGACTCAGACCTGGGCTGTGCTGATCCAGGAAGACTGACTAGAGGAGGTGGTATGGGAGAATGGGAGCATAATGGAACAAGAGGTGAGGAAGGGGAAAAAGGGAAGGATGGATGGAAGATGGAGAGGCAAGAATGAAGAGGAGGGAAGGAGAGAGGGAGAGAGAGAGAGAGAGAGAGAGAGAAAGAGAGAGAAACCTAGATAAGAATAATGAAGACAAAAAAGATGGGGTAGGGAAGGGAATGGTTCCCAAGTCAATCACATAAACCAACTGAGGAGCACCCCACCAGCTTGGCTCTGGGTTTCCCTTCTTGCTCCTGTGTACATACCCAACCAAGAGCCACAGCTCATTCATGGGCTCTAGCAAGGATTTTTGGCAAATGGCAATCCAGGGACAGAGCTGAGGCTAATATGGGCCACAAAGCAATGGCAATCACAGGGGAGGTACCATGGAGTACTGGGGACCTAAAGTCTTGTGCTCATCACAAGCAGCTGGGAACTCAGGTTGGAGAAGACAACAGTGGAATCACTGGACTGTGTGGAGTTGGATGGCAGTGTTTGCTGGGTCACCCCTCTTGAGGTCTTTTCAGCCAGAGCTGTCTCAAGGCCTAGACCCCTGGGAGAGCCCAGCCAGTCTGTGTTCTTGGCTCTCGTGGGCTGGAGGAGACAAAAAAAAAGCTAAGTGCCATGCTGATAGCAGTTTCTCCTCCTCCTCCTCCTTCTTCTTCTTTTTCTTTTTTCATTGTGGTAAATAAATATGTAAGAAAACATTTGACAATATTCACATGTATAGCTCAATGACATTAATTACATTCATCCTATTGTTGTTAGTCACCTTTGAGTCAGTTTCAACTCATGGTGACCCCATGAATAACTGAATGAACTGTTGCACATTCTTTTTTTTTTTT